TCCTCCAACTGTTTCAGGTCAAGTGTTGTACATGTGCTATTACTGCAAGCGCAGGGTGAGAGCTGGGATAATGCCTGCACGTTGTGTCCTCAATGGTCTGCAGACTGTTCCCATTCCCCCAGAACTGGCTGCATTAGACCTACTTAGTAGACAGCTTATCCAGAGGGCCAAGTGCTATCAGACTGTTGTGAGATTAGGTACTTACACTGGTAAAGTGCCCAGATACAATTCCCTGCAGGCCTGCAAAGGCACAATGTTTTTCCTTCCCTTGCCACTAAACAAGACCATAGAAACCTTAAACAAGGTCCAACAGCATACCTCTCTCCTACCAGACCCAGAGTTGTACATTATTGTCAATGGTAGGCCAACCAAGAGTAATGTTGTGTGGCGTAGTTTGGTGGATGTGAACCATGTCAAGACTGCAATAAGAAAGTTGAGGTCTTGTAACTGGCTCTACAGAGATGTTCATGAGAAATGCATTGATGAGAGCACTAAACACATCATTGAGGTCTCTAACAATGCAACCACAGAAATGTTGAAAAAGGTTTCCCCAGATGAGGTAGATACATTTCAGGCCTACACCATTAGAAACCTGGATAGCAAGCTCTCCATTGGTTCAGACTTAGAGCAGTACAGACTTATGAGCATCACAGAGGACCCTATTACCAACAAGCAACAGCATTTAGATGTGATGTGTTTCCCTGTGCTCTTCCCAACTGGGAAGTTTGGAGAGTTCCACCCTAGGAAAGAGAAGATTTCTCCCAGTGAGTACGTCAAATCTAGGCTGCTTAACAAGGACTCGCGTTTCCGTAAAGATGCACAATATGTGTTTTACCTTTTGTGGCAGAAGGAAATGCGACAACTCGCATCAGGTGTTTACAATTTGTTAAAGAGTACCAGGAGACAGTCCATGTCTGTTAGCTTGTTACTAGAGCAGGTGAACACCGCAGACGAGCAGCTAGAAGCACGTTTGTGCACAATGCTCCAGTCAGTCCGTGGTACCAAACAGTTCTGGTTCCTCAGACACAGTGAGCTCAAGTGCATGATAAGAGAGTGGGGCTCGCCTACCCTTTTCCTCACCTTTAGCTGTGCTGAGTATGAGTCCCCTGATATCACTGAGTTTCTTAGGAAAGTGAACAATGTTCCTCCCAGTTACAACATTGGGAAGCTGTGTGTTGAGGACCCAATCTCAGTTTCCAGGAAATTTTCCCTCAAATTCCATGCCTTTTTCCGAAAGGTCATTTTTGAAAGGTCAGGTCCTGGGTATTGTAGACCACTTTTATTGGAAGAAGGAGTATCAGAATCGTGGGGCTCCTCATTACCATGTCCTACTCTGGATTAGAGATGCACCACTCATTGATAGAGACGATCCCGAGAAGGTGCTAGACTGGATCCAGGATAGAATCACCTGCCACATCCCTGATGAACAGGGTAGCCCTGAGCTGCACAGACTAGTCACCAGGTACCAGATGCACAAGTGCAGCAAGTACTGTAAGAGGCGGAAAAGGTGTGGAAAGACAGCATTCATCACCAGGTGTAGGTTCGGGTTTCCCAGGCCAGTGTGTGAGACTGCTCAGCTCAACCCCGTCCAGGAGAGCCTGAAATCCCGTAACCGAATTTACCAGTTGGTCCGTACTCTGGCTGAAACAAGGGTGAATGACTACAACCCACTGTTATTGATGCTGTGGAAGGCTAATATAGACATTCAGTTTGTAGCCGAAGCCTCTCTAGCTCTTGCTCACTATGTCAGTGGCTATGTCACCAAGGCTGAGCGTAGCAACATGCAAGACATCTGGCAGGAAGTTAGTGAGAACAAGAGCATTTACAGTCGCCTTTTCAGCTTTGGTGTTAGAAGTTTACGGTTCAGAGAGTGTGGTCTGTATGAGGCCAGTGATCTACTGCTGGGAGACCACCTCACTGAGAAGTCTGACACAGTCAAGTGGGTAGACGTCTCCATGCCTTCACAAGAGATCCCGTAGACTGAAGAACCACAAAGTCTTACAAGAAATGGCTAGGCTGAACCCAGATAGTCAGAACATCTTTGAGGATAATGTCCTAGATACATTCTATCCTCAGAGACCAGCCCTCCTTGAGAGCGTTTGTTTGTATGACTTTGTAGCCAATTATGAGTTTCAGGGTGTTGACACAAATGGTCAGAGAGTGTACAAGAAACTTAGCAAGCCTAAACTCCCTAACCACAAAATCTTTGACCCTGAAAATGAGAACCAGAAACAAGATTATTTCTACTCCCTAGTGTTGCTGTTCTCTCCATTTAGAGATGAGAGTAGTTTACTGCAGAGTAATGAGACAGCTGAGCAGGCATTTCATAGACTACTCAGTAACCAGAGCTCAAGCTACCACTCGAAGCTGAGGACAATGTTGGCAGCAGCGTCAAATGTAAAGAGCATTAATGAAGCACGTCAGGCCAACATGGAAGAAAAAGAAGCCAAAGAAGACAATGAGCCTCAGCTGCTAGGTGAAGCTAGAACAGCCATGACTGAAGTTCTAGACATGAAAGCCAGCACCCCTGGCCAGCTGACCCTAGATGAGAGAGTGTCCATGCTGAATCAGGATCAGAAGAGAGTCTTTGAGAATGTCAAGGCTCACTTCCTGCACCAAAAGTGTCACGAGGCAAAACAGTGTTCGTGTGATTTCGCACCTCTTAGATTGTTTGTTAGTGGTGTGGGTGGTACTGGTAAATCCTTTCTCATTGAGGCCATCAAGGCCCTAGTGAACAGTCTGTGGAGTAGTGAAGGCCTCCTCTGTGGTATTGCAGCACCAACTGGGCTTGCTGCATTCAATGTCGGAGGTATCACTATCCACAGACTCTTCCAACTCCCTGTTGAGCATGCTACCAAAGCCACTAGCTATTGGCCACTGCCCAAAACATCCCAGAAGATCATGAGAGCAACTCTCTCTGAAGTGAAAGTTGTTTATTATAGATGAGATTTCAATGGTTTCCAGTATCAACCTGGCTTTTGTACACATGAGACTAGAGGAGTTGTTTGGTAGCAGTGAGTGGTTTGGGTCTCGGAACATGCTGTTTGTAGGTGACCTCCTCCAACTCCCACCTGTCCATGGGAATCCTGTTTTTGAGAAGGTTGCCACTAAATCAATCCTGTCCCAACTAGGGTGTGCAGCTGCCATCAATATTTGGAGAGATTGTGTTACGTATGATGAGTTGACTATCAATGAACGTCAGAAAAAGTGATCCACAGTTTTCCTCCATGTTGGACTGTGTGAGACGTGGTTGTCCAACCAAGGAAACTGTGAGTGTGTTGAAACAGAGGGTCATACAGGTGTCTGTCTCAGACAAGTTTTCTGAGCTAAAACAGTCTGGCAAGGCACCTGTTTGCTTATTTCCCCAAAAGGAAAGCGTGTGATGACCTAAATGCACAAATGCTCCGCAAGAATGCTTCCGAAGTGCATGACATTTATTGTACTGATGAGATTGACGAAACAGCAGGCAATAGGAAGATGACCAAGAAGGTCATTGAGCATTTGGATAAACTGAACGCTGACTGCAACATGACAGCTGGGTTGGAAGCCAAACTGTCTCTTGCAGTCGGTGCACGAGTCATGCTACGTCGCAACATTGACACCAAGGCTGGGCTGGTCAATGGTGCTATTGGTACAGTGCTGTCAATAGCAGCCCAGCATGTGACAGTGCAGTTTGATAATGTACCTGCTCCATGTAAGATTGATAAGGTCAGAAGCAGGTTCATGGTGATGAAGAATTTCTATGTGTATCGTAGACAATTCCCTCTCATTTTAGCCTATGCAATTACCATCCACAAGTGTCAGGGTCTGTCATTAGACTGTGCCATAGTAGACCTGTCTGAGGAGGTATTCAGTGATGGAATGGCATATGTGGCTCTATCCAGGGTTAGGTCACTAGATGGTCTGTTCCTAACAGCCTTTGATCCCCAGTCCATCAGTGTTAGTGTGAGTTCCCTGGGGGAAGTAAACCGCCTCAGAAAAACCCATAGACCTGATCTTCCTCTGTATGATATACCACACATCTCTAAAAGAAAGAGGAAGCTCACTGGTGTAGACAAAACTGTTTCCCCAAGTGTAAAAAAGGTCAAGGTGAATCCCTCATCTGCAAGGGATAATGAGGACTGTGTTATTACAGGTACAGAAACACCTGCTGCTAGTCCTTTCAATTTCCACTCTGTAGATGTACAGTGGCAGCAAAGTGCATGCCAAGAGCTGGGCCTCCAATATTGTACACAAACACCAGTAAGACCAGGAGGACCCGCTGTCCCCCTCACACGTCCAGACATGCGTAGTGTGAGACGCGTACAGGGAGATGGTAACTGCCTCTTTCGAGCATTTTCTTACATTCTGACAGGGTCTGCAGATCAGCATATTGGTGTACGACATGCTATCCTTGACCACATGACAAATAATGCCCAATATTTCCTAGGCCACCATCTCGTAGGCTATGACAGTATTCAAAGTTATATAGCTTCCACAGGTATGGACCAAGATGGCACCTGGGGAACTGACATTGAGATGCTGTCTTTGGCACACCTGCTCCAGACCCCTGTCTTCTCATACAGCCAGCAGCATGGGCAGTGGCAGCGGTACTCTCCTCATGATGTCGACAGACAACTGATGGATGACATTCACCAGAGGTCTATGTATCTATTGCACACAGGAAACCACTTCAATGTTGTTGGTTCTATAAGGAAGAGTTAAAGAAGCCACATGTGCTCATATAGACTATACATGGGCTCTCTGAGCATGTTGGGGAAGGAGAGGGTGGGTCCCTGCAATTTATTGAGGTGGCTTCCCCATTTCATGCTATAACCACTGTAGAAAGTGCGATTTACATGTCCTGTACATGACTTCTGAACATGTTGGGGAAGAAGAGGGTGGGTCCCTGCAATTTATTGAGGTGGCTTCCCCATTTCATGTTCTAACCACCCTCCTAAAGTCTCAGACTTCATGGAGCTGACTGGTTTCAAGTGTAGGGAAACTGCACTGTCTTTACCACAAAGTTTTTAGGGACTGATGCTTCAAGCCGACAACAAAAATCGTACATCCATCCCTACATCTTTCTTTTACAGTCCAACCTCTACTGTGATAATTAATGTTGTGAATAAATTGGTATCTTAATGACAAGTAACCGCACAACTTTTTTTTATACAGAGAAAAAGAAGAAAGAATGTAGGGATGGATGTATGAATTTTGTTGTCCGGCTGAAGCAATCTTCTTGTTGGCATCCTTTTTCATAATTTTACACCCATCCCTACATCCCCCTTCCATTTTGAAGATGATTTTTTCCACTTTGTCACTAAGTACGGTAGTACTTAGTATATAGGGATGACACAGGTTGTCCTGCATTATGCTCATACATTGGAGATTTTCATGTTTCACTTTCTATTTCAATCAGATCCAACTTTTGACACATCAGACTAATTTGTATCGTCACAAAGAGCATGTATCCAAGAAATAGCTTAAATCGCATAATCGGTACTTGATTTTTTCAAAAAAGTAACTTTTCTATTTTCTTCTTCTTCTTGTTGTTGTTGTTGTTGTTCAGTTTAGACAAGCGTATCTCAAAAACCGGGTAAGATATGGATATGAACCTTTGCACAGATATTGGAATCCATGGCAGGTCGTGCAAGAGCATTATTATTTGTTCGTAAACAATTTTTTTTACATGTAAACAACAACAAATAGCCCCAGGCAATACATTATGATAGAGACAAATAAAGTGTGCTAACTGGGTAAAGCTAATACCCAGAGTGATAAAACTTTGTACACACATGCAACCCATCATTAGTATCAAAATGTAAACATTACAAGTTTGTAAACAACAACAAACAGCCTCAGGCAATAAAAACTTGTAAACTATATTATTGCCTATAACTTGCTTATGGTGGGACCTCTAACAATGGAAATTGGTACACGGATGTTCCATGATAAGAGTTCATCGAAACAGAAATTATAAGTTAGTAAACAACAACAAACAGCCTCAGGCGATGAATACTTGTAAATGGTGTTTGTGCCTCCAACTTGCTTATGGTTGGTCCTCTAACAATGAAACTTGGTACACAGATGTACCATGATGAGAGTTCATCGAAACAGAAATTACAAGTTTGCAAACAACAACAAACAGCCTCAGGCAATAAAATGATGTTTGTGCCTATAATGCATATTGTGGATCCTCTAACAATGAAACTTGGTACACTGATGTACCATGATGAGAGTTCATCGAAACAGAAACAAGTTTGCAAACAACAACAAACAGCCTCAGGCAATAAAATGATGTTTGTGCCTATAATGCATATTGTGGGTCCTCTAACAATGAAACTTGGTACACTGATGTACCATGATGAGAGTTCATCGAAACAGAAATTACAAGTTTGTAAACAAAAACAAACAGCCTCAGGCAATAAAATTATGTTTGTTGCGCCATAATGCATATTGTAGGTCTTCTAACAATGAAACTCGGTTACACTGAATTTACCACTGATGAGAGTTTCATCGAAACAGAAATTACAAGTTTGTAAACAACAACTAACAGCCTCAGGCAATAAAATGATGTTTGTGCCTATATGCATATTGTGGGTCTCTAACAACGAAACTGGATACACTGATTTACTATATACGAGTTCATTGAAACTGAATTTACACTTTGTACAACAAACAGCCTCAGGCAATTAGTGCTGTTTTTCTATAACTTTGTACCTTATTACTTTGAAGTGAAATAAAATGTAGATGAACGACTAAGAGTCGAGGCAATAAATACATGTTACTTTTTATATGGACATTATGCCCCAATGCATGTGCATTGCCGTAAAAAAAAAAAAGGAAAGGAGACAAGTAAATAAAAAAATTCTGCGAATATAAGAAGTGGGGACTATAGGGATGCAGAAAAAGCAAGGAGGACAAGACAAAGATGACCTGGGGCAGGTGACAGGAGACAATGGGATGATTGTTAACTCTTCAAAACGACATGTCTTGCTATGTAAATCTTCCGCCACACAAGCCCTATATTACCGACACTTTCTCACAACATGAATTGTTAGTGTGGAGACAGTGAGGCTGAGACACATCGATCCACTCGGGCATAAGAAACGAGTCATAGATGCACATCATAAAATAGAGATCACTCGTGCTAGCAAGAGATTTTAATGACAGTGCATTAGCCGCACTCTTTAATGGTCCCCTCTCTCAAGAATAATAATCTTACGACCAGTTCTGTAAAAGGATTCTCTGACAGCCGATAGATGAACACAGCATTGAAAACTCATCGTTAGGTGAGCGCACACCAGAGTCCTTAGACGCACACAATGCAGGTTTTGCATTCAGAAGACTAAGTGAGCTCACTTCCTCGTCATAACAGCTATAGGATATTCAGAATAATAATTATTATGTAGCTAAACTCAGGTTTGGTTAGTGTGCAGTTGTAACAAGATTGGGGGAAACGTTTTAAAAATCTCGGACCTATCCATAAATGTTTCTTTATACTAATTTAGGGTGTATCGGGTGCCCGAGAGGCTGGCACTGCTGTGGGAGGTGGTGGGGGAGATGTGTGTGCTACCGGCCGGGCTGGCACAGCTGTTGCTGGAGAATCCCCGACTTTGCCTGTCATGCCGCCAACGCCGTCTGCTGGGCAATAAGGACGGCTATTGACTTCGCCCTGAGGGTCGCAATCTGGGTGGTGGACTATAGCCGACACATCCTCGACATTGCCAAAGCTGCCCTGCACATTGCAAGGGGCGTGGTGTACGTGGCAAGACACACTCTGGATCTCGCTATTGCATTCCTCGACGGCGTGAGGCATGCGTATCGTGTGGGGGTGAGGGCCATCAGTGCAGTCATTAGTTTTGCTCTCACAAAGATCATCAACATCAGAGAGATCTACTTCAAGGTGGGGCTGGGAGTGGCCAGTGGTGGAGAGTTTGAGTGTCGAGTGAAGGGAGTCCTGCTGGGTGGAAACATTGACATCAATTTGAGGATCAACACTTGAAATATTTGGTCGATTATCAGATCTCTCGCCGAAAGAGCAATTCCTGGGCTCTCAAGCTTTATTGGATAAAATGAACATTGCAGCTGTAGCGTAGACTTCAGTTTAGAGAGCCGGTTAGAGAGTTATTGTAGATATCACAATGTGCTGATTTCATATCATAGGTTAGTATAGAGATCAGGTAGCCTAAAAGGTAGCTCAGCATGGCCAGATTCTGTTATATCTATGGCTAACTTACTGGCTATAGTGGCTTTTTTCCCGTTCATGTGTGATACATAATAAGGCTAAGAGAAAGCGCTACGTATACCTTACCACACCCTCCGTACGACGCATGCGCAGTTGTGGCAGCTTGTGAATATGCAATTTGCTAACCAAATACGGGAGTCAGGCACGCATCCGAGACTCAGGGTGTCGCGGTCTCTGTCGCGGTATATACAAGGAGCTAGAGGGACTCTAGCTACAGAGCTATTATACAGGTAAGGGATTGATGTGCTTTTCTTGTGGATCCACGTGGGTTGGAGACTAAATGCGGCGAAACAATATTATACGTGATGGGGATTTACCATTGCCCGCGGCGAGAATGATCAAAGTGCAGTTGCCACGTACAATACAGGAAAAGATGCATTTCCAAAACCCGCCGACTCCGCACGGTTATGTTTCTGTGGCAGTCAGTGCGAGAAAGGTGTGTTCGACAATCAGCAAACAGCGGCTCTCACAATCCGCGCAGCGCTGGCAGCTTCCGTACACATGCTATATACAACTTTGTCAATGTACGGACGACGGTGTTATTTCCGTATTTGGCTTGTGCGCCATGTAAACATGCTTGTTTACGCGTTATTCTTCGTCGCGCATGCGGACAGAACGGCGGTTACCATAGCTACGGGCATCTCTATCTGAAGCGCACTGGAAGGAAGACGGTCGATACGCCAGTTCTTCGCTACACCACTCTGTGTTGGAAAAGCTTTGACATTGAAAACGTTGTGATGGAAGTCTTCCTGTCCTTCTGATGGTGTTATCCAACAAGGAACGGCCCGACCTCTACACGTGTCCTTTGCCCAGTGGAACCGCCTTCCAGAGACTAATTTTTTCAGCTTTTAGTGAATGTGGTTTTTGACACTCATTTGAATGTATGTTGGTGGATACCAAAGCACCTTCGAGTCCACTACATGTGGGAAGCTGCGTGAGAAAGCCACAACTGGCAGGGCCGTTTGGTGGTATGACAGAGAGAGGCTACGGTTGCTTGGGGTTTTGACCAAACCATTCTTGTATCTTTCCACTACTGATATGCAGCTAGCGTACTAACTGAAACACTGTGTCGTCTGCAAGATAGGTGAGCAGAGTTTCGGTTGTGCTTCGGATGGACGCATCAGCGTGAGCGGCGACTGTATTAGCCAGCTATGTATCACTAAGTAGGGTAGTACTTAGTATATAGAGATTGACATGGTACCTAGCATCATAGATGTACATACGGGGCTATGATAGGGAGTTTTGTTCATCTTCTTCGCCGCCTTCAGATTCAACACCCATAACTAAAAAACGAAATAACATTATAGTAATCAGTGTTCTAGCTAGGAAAAAAGTCACAAAGCGGTGCTATCCGCCACCTAGGGGGGTCTGGGGGCATGCTCCCCCCGGAAAATTGTAGCATTTAGACTCTCAGAGATTGAATCTGGGGGAATTTGAGGCAAATGTGGTAAATGAACGACATGTTTAAAACACAATACATTACAGATAACTAAACAACGTTTGTGTCTAAGTCTATTAGGAAATTCACTCTTCCACGCAGGATTGTAGCCTGTCTTGTGTTTCTTGCTGGAACTAGCGTTTCTGCGCTTCATCGTTCTGACCACGGTGGTTCTGTTGTGAAACACGTGGGCAGCTTAAGTAACCTATTATAGTACTTACGTAAACTGTGAATACAATTATTCGAGCGCGTGCTCATAGAGCGGCGGAGTGGAACTATAGCGCGGCGCTGCACCGCTCTTCCGCGCTTTAACGAGAACCCTGGTAATGAAATTTTGTAACAATGTAGATATCCATCACCCGAAGAGACTGGTCATACTTATTTCTTTGTAAACAACAACAAATAGCCCCAGGCAACACATTATAATGGGATCACATGTGTCAGTAAAACTCACAAATGGTAGGAGCTATGTGAACGAAACTTTGTATACATAATGTATTCAATCACCAACATCAAAATTACAACAATACATGTTTGTAAACAACAACAAATAGCCTCAGGCACTTTTCTTTCTTCACTCCTCAAACTTTCCAATGGTAGCACGCATCGAGATGAAACTTGGTACGTATGCCTATTATATCATTTCCATTACGATTACATGTTTCCATGACGACCGCATATTGTTTGAAAAGCCTCAGGCAATTTTCTTTAATACCTCTCCTTCACTCCTCAAACTCGCTAACTGTACCATGCATGGAGATGAAACTTGGTGCGCATTACATCGTTTCCATGACGACCACAACAACAAATAGCCTCAGGCACTTTTCTTTAAAATTACTTATTCACACCTCAAACTTGCTAATTGTAGCACGCATGGAGGTGAAACTTGGTACGCATGTGTATTACATCGTTTCCATGACAACTACAACAACAAATAGCCTCAGGCACTTTTCTTTAAAATTACTTCTTCACTCCTCAAACTTGCTAACGGCAGCACACATGGAGATGAAACATGGTATGCATATCATTTCCATCACGACAACAGGCATTTTTCTCTATTATTAATTTTTATAGGGGCTTGCCCCTTCCACAGAGATAATACGTAGTAGTATATAAAAATGATTTGAGACAAGTAAATAAAAAATCCTGCGAATTTAAAAAAAGAGGCATATAGGTATCGTATAAAAAGAAAGGGAGACAAGATAGGGATTGGATACATGAAGCATGGTTAATGAACAGATTTGAGTACGCTGACACCCCCAGCCACCCCAATCACACCATCCCTATTTTGTTGCCTAGGTGAAGTATTAAACATTCACCATTACAATACTCAGAACTTACAATGCACTACTGAGTAACCAACACCCTTATAGAGTCCAAGTGGAAGGGAATGTGGTAGTATAAATGTTACTAAAAACACCAAGGACACGGTGAAAGAATGCTTGCTTTTAGTAACCTTTAGCCCCTATAAGAGTAGCACACCCGGCAACAATATAGGGATGGTGTGATGGGGATTGGGGGTGTCGGCGTACTCAAATCTGTTCATTAACCATGCTTCATGTATCCAATCCCTATCTTGTCTCCCTTTCTTTTTATACCATCCCTATATGCCTCTTTTTTAAATTCGCAGGATTTTTAATTTACTTGTAACCTTTAGAGTAGCGGGGGAAACTCTGTAGCTGTGTGGCTTCTTGTACCACCACCTTGGGTCTGTAGCAGTGCAAAAGGTAGGCCTATTGCCCCAGAAACCCCCAAGAATTTTTGAATTGTCAGTAAGTGGTGTTAGACGCTAGAAACGCAGTCTTCCCGCATCCTCGAGGCAGACGGGCAAGTTTCCTTCATCCAAATTTTACCGATTTTCAACTGCGCTTTGGCCGCTTAACTTTGTATATATATAACCAACATAATTTTTTCGGTTCATCCGAAACATTAGGCTCTCTTCTACAGTTCTAGACGTTCGGACCTCAAAATAGAGTCAGCATAGCTGCTCAAATAAAGTTTAGACCCACACGGATTTTATTCAAATGTACACGGTTCAATGGCCAACGCATGCAGTGCGAGAGATTGTAGTTGGCCGAAAGATTAGCTGCTCGACAGTGAATATTTTGTGCGTGGGCGGTGGAGGAGTCGTTGTTCTTGACGTCTAGAGGTTCGGACCTCTCCAGAGTTGTTAGACCATCAAGAAACGCTGCAAGAAAGTTTATGTTCCCATTGAACTCCATACATTTCACCCGTACGGATTTTTTTGCATTCCAGAGGCGTGTTTTCTTGTAATGTCTGCGGATTCCTGGTAACGGTGTGGGTGACAGTCTGTCCACAGATTTAGGTGGAAATAGCGGCAGTTCAGTCAAACTTGGACATCATAGTTGGAGCAAGAGCAATCAACGGGCTCGATATGCTCCCAGTATATAGGAGGTACTAACTCAGTACAACAAGATCCTGGAGTAGAGGAGGAGATGACTGTGGAGGACGCCAGGGATGACTCACCGGCTAACTAAGGAGTGTGTGCTAATATGGAGATCTTGCATTGGGGCCTAGCTACGTAGCTCTCGGCTTGGCCAGCTTTTTTACCGCACAAGTAGTAGTAGAAAAAGTAATAAGGCAAGGGTTATTAGGATAAGATGGCTCCTTCTTGTATGTGTGGACAACAAGAGATGGGGAGTTTGAACTAAAGAAGAGATTGAGTTTTGTGCTGCTGCTTGAGACTAGTAGTAGGAGATGCATGTCAGTGTTGAATTAACACTACAGCTAGCTGTGTTCTAGCAAAAGGGCATTGAGAAGTAGAGGGATATGTGCATACTGAATTACATTAGCTTTACACAGTATTTGCTTGCCATTTAAAGGCTAGCTATAACTCGTTGACTGGTTGGTATTAGTATATAGCCATTTGGAAACTACTGGTTTATCTTACAATGAGCTTCATCAGTACCTCCCTGGTCTTATTATCAAACAAATTTGCCTCCCTCGGTTTCCTTTTAGAAGAAAACGGCAAGTTGTGAGATAATAATGAGAGGTTTCCTAAAAAGCCTTTTGTCAACTAGAAAATAAAGCTTATTTTCTCAGTTGGAAAGCATTGCAAGGGAAACAGATTTGCATGTCACCGTGAAGATGGCTTGTGCTTTACTTGACAGCCGGAGCATCTCTCAGACTTTTGCTACAACTGTCTGCTTAATGAACCAGTCTTTCTCCCTTGATTTGCAACACGCAGCTTGCCAATATGATCTGTTAGTTCATGCTGACTGCACCCCACATTTGAGACAGAGATTGCGTCAAAGTTTGAGCTCCAGACAATTCTCCCCCTGATGTGACAGTACCAAAAACTGTTGCTTACTATATAGACAGAAAACAGTGGAGGTGGCAGGCCTGGTTTTACTGAATGCGTTTGGACCTCAAAAGTGGACCATAAACATGCAGGAATTAGCAGTATGCTCATTGAATCAAAACCATATTTCATGTCACTATCCTTTTAGAGTAACAGGTAGCTTGCAGCAGGGTCAATAATGTTTGTGTGATTGCTTCAACAACAATATTAAGCATCACACTGTGTAGTTCATTACCTAACGTTCGCGAGTTTGAGGATTGAAGAAGGTAATTTTATTTGTCAAAAAATATTGTCGTATGAAAACAATATATTATGCTGCGTAGCTACCAAGTTTTAACTCCATGTGCGCTAACCATTTTCAAGTTTCGGATGAGAAGTACTTTTAAGAAAAGTGGCCCAAGGCTAGTTGTTGTTGTTTAAAAACAAATTGGTGTCACGGAAACATGTAGTACGGTGCATGTAATACCACGTTTCTCTCCGCGTGTGCTAATCCACAATTTTTAGGAGTGAAGAAGTAATTTAAAGAACCTTGCCTGAAATGACCAACATATATTGTTGTGTTTTCGTATAGTGGTCACTGAATAAATTGTGTATACAACTTTCATTTGCATAGGCTCTATGCATCTGTTATTTACACTAAGACACGTGTCCACCTTTAATGTTTGCCTGGGGCTTTTTGTTTAGACAGTAAACAACATTGTTTAACAAACAACAACCTCGACTCACTATCTCGAACTCGCGAAGGTACACGCATGAGATGCAAACATTATACGACGCATGTGTATTACATCATTTCCATGACATGCATGTTTGTAAACAACAATCGACATTTTCTCTATTATATTTATATGCGTGTCCCCTTCTCACCACAAGAGATATTAATAGTAGGTATATAAATGAGTGGATATGTAGGAATTGTGTGATAGGGTCGGGGTGTCAGTATGCTCAATAATTCTGTCCGCTCACCATGGCTTCATTTCTTCCACCTATCTTGTGTCCGTCTTTTTATACCATCCCTCTATGCCTCGTCTTTTTTAAATTCGCGGATGTTACTTGTTACACTGAAAATGCATGAAGTTACTACTTGCCTCCCCTGCTGCGCAAAGCTGAGCTGTATTATTTAACAGTAACGTTCACGAAGATAAGGATGCGACAAACATGAATGTTACTGATGTGTAGATTGCGAAGTATTTACTCATAAACGTTGGCCACTATTGTAACTTGTAGGTAACTAGCAGCTACCATCGTCATCTTCTATATCACAGAGCCTCTAATCATGGTAGAGCGACCAAAGGCTAACATTAAGCTCTACAAATCTGAGAGGCTTCATGGTGGATCGTATAGAAAAATTGGTGGAGCCAAGAATGATAGGCTACTCTTTGCTGCCAAAGCCATCCTCCCCCCACTCTTTGACAGAACAACCACTTTTCTGCTTAAGAACTGCAAAGAATGTCATTTAATTCTCCAGTTAAGGCACCACAATGTAGCTCAGTACCTTGCTATCTGCTACAGTCCCTACACACGACTGCCTGTTCTCCTCACGGGACTTTGCGATGAAAGTGTTACAGCATTCCTGGAGCGATTCCCAGGACCACTGCCCTACCACATTCGAGTAAACATCTCCCACGACATAGCACTGGCCCTGGCCTACCTACACAACAAAAGTCTCACCGACAGAGACCTAAGAGGAAAAAATGTCATGATTATGGCTGGCACTCGAGCCAAGATCGCAGATTTCAGGATGTCTGGACTTCCCTTTACCCTCGACCAATGCAATAAGCAACCTAAAGTTGAAGAGACGAGCATTCAGAAAGCGCTATTCGAGGAAGAGTATCAAGCTGGCACTCGAGCCAAGATCGCAGATTTCGGGATGTCTGGACTTGCCTTTACCCTCGACCAATGCAATAAGCAACCTAAAGTTGAAGAGACGAGCATTCAGAAAGCGCTATTCGAGGAAGAATATCAAGCTGGCACTCGAGCCAAGATCGTCAGATATCGGGATGTGTATGACCATTGCCTTGACCCTCGACCATGCTATAAACATACTAACGTGAGAGACGAGCATGGAGAAGCGGCTATTCGAGGCAGAGTAGCAAGCTGCATCGAGCCAATCGCCATTTCCGATGTCCTGGACTATGCCTTTACCCTCGACCAACTGCAATAAGCAACTCTAAAGTTGAAGAGACAACACCGAAGGCATTTTTCGAGCCGTTCTCATCTGCTCAACTGATGCTTTATATATTAGCGATCCCTCTAAAAGAGACTTCCACTTCACTGTCTGAGTGCTCAAATAAAGGAAGACGTCACTGCTGCCGAATTAAGCAAAAGGCTGGACAACACTTTTGAAACACTCCTCTAAATATGGCATCGAGAGGCATGCAACTGCGCCACGGAGCGGACAGTGAGATCCACACAGATACAACAATACGGACGAGGTAAGGGCAGGAAGGAAGCACATGAGTTACCTAAGTCCATAAGTATGCAATATCAAAAGCGGCACCATCCAAGTTGTCGTAGGTCGTTATGGAAGTAATCAGAAAGACAAAAGGCTTCAGTAGTGAGGAGTTGGTTTCGGAAGAGTTGCAGGATCAGCGCTTAGGCCTGCAGCAGAAAGGTAAGACTGGCCTTGAGCAGACCATATCAGACAATGAGAGAAGGTTGAACAGTTGGAGCAGGGAGACACCACCATTAGAAACCAACAACAACAACACCCAGTCACATGTCAAGGCAACAGCTGTGGCAACGAAAATAATATCAGTAGATGAGGTGAGGGTGGGAGAATGCACCGCAACATGCATAGGGAGTAGCTGTAGTGCACAGAAACACATGCCTACTTCAGACCATTGGTTCAAAGATCTAATTCATACCAAATACGTTAGGGCAGAGAAAATGTCTGGTACCAGATAACCCAAATAGAATTGTTGTCTTGCAGTATTGATGGTGTTCTCACTAGTGTAGGTGGTGGAAACACTGATGGTCCCACTAACACTCTCCTTAGTCTCACAGGAGAAGGCAGAAATAAGCAATGGTGAGATATCCCTCCCATGCCCACACAACGTGCCCATATAGCTTGTGCTAGTATAGGACAGGCTCTATCGTGGCCGGTGTAGTAGAAGCGAGTGATATTACAGACAGTGTGGAGGTGATGAATGCAGCACCAAATGCTATGGACCGCTGAGTGTTCTCTCCACAAAAATGTACATCATTATCTGCCTTATCTGTGGACACACCCTCTTTTAGGAGGAGGTGACATGGGCCTCCTTAATGTCTCAAAGACGGTGTTAACATGTGATATTTACTGAACTCTTGTATTATACTGAACATAAAGAACAGGAAAGTCCATGTATGAAGAAAGAAATAAGCAGTTTGCCAGTGACACAATCCACCCTATGGATCACTAGGTGGAGACATGCTGGCTATTGGTGGGAGAGATGACTGTGACAAACCCACTTCCAATGTCTATAGATATGACTCCCACACCGACTCTTGGAATGTGGCTAGTGAGATGAACAACAGTCAAACCTCCTGTCTTGTAGTAGCTCTTCCAGAAGGTCATCTTACTGTAGTGGGGGAATTTGCTGTCAACACAACTGCTCGTGATTTACTTGATGATCAGCCCAAAACTGATAGGAAACAAGGAATGAAGACCCCATTTTCGTCAAAGTACATTAAAAGAACAATTAACGAGGAAAAGTCCTACGTTGAAAGAAGTGAAAGGGATCATGCCCTGCGCCACTATGGCCGGTTATGTAATCCAGCAACCCAACCAGCTATAACTACCTTTGTTCAACATAAAACCGACCCACGTGCCCTATTGTATCGACTAAAGCATCTTGAGTTACGGTATTTAAATCCTGGAACATACACCTTAAATCCACAATTTTTCGACACCAGTATGCGATTGAGCTCTAAGTCAGTTATTTCTGATATGATGTGGAGATTTGGGAAAGATCCGCCAGAACCAATGCAAAGAGGAGCAGCTGTGGTTCATAGGCATACAGCCTACTTCATTCCTGCAATTTCGCAGCAAGTATACTCATACCAGAACATTCAAGGCAAAGAAAAATGGTCTCAACTACAAGCTAACCCAAATAGAAATTGTGGTCTTGCAGTTGTTGATGGTGTTCTCACTAGTGTAGGTGGTTGGAACACTGATGGTCCCACTAACACTCTCCTTAGTCTAATAGGAGAAGATGAAAAGCAATGGTGTGAGATATTCCCTCCCATGCCAACAATACGTGAGAGTGCAATTTGTATTACTACTGAGCAGGCTTTAGTTGTGGCTGGAGGTTTGGTAGCAGGTGATAATACAAACAATGTGGAAGCATTTCACACTGGCAAAAAATTGTGGACCACGGTTTGTCCTCTTCCACATAAGTTTTCATCGTTATCAGCAACTATCTGTGGCAACATGCTCTATGTGGCAGGTGCCTTACTGGAATACTTGACTCCATCAAGTCAGTCTCACTTGTTCACTTTCTGACCTCTTATGTTCACTTCCTTCAAGTCACAATGTATGGAAAAAGATCAACAGTTTACCGGTGACAAGATCCACTGTTGTGTCATTTGGTGGGGACCTACTACTGGCTATTGGTGGGAGATGATGATTGAACCCCACTTCCAATTTCTATATATATGACTCCACACTGACTCTTGGATTGTGGCTGGTCAGAGTGAAGAAACAGTCAACCTCCTGTCTTGTAGTAGCTCTTCCAGAAGGCCATCTTACTGTAGTGGGGGAATTTGCTGTCAACACAACTGCTTATGTTGATTCACTGATGATCAGCCCAGCATTGATTGGGAGAAGAAACAGTACCAGATACTTGTCGATGTTAGTCAGAAGTGAAAGGGATCTCTACAATAGTCTATTGTTGATCCAGAAAGCGAAAAGTTAAAACTTCCTTTGTTCAACATAAATCCACTCACAAAAGTACTCGAAAGATATGCTGAATTCCGAAACTCAGATGCTGAGAGAGACACCTTAGACACATACTCTGGCCTTCACCAATTTTTACACTAGTATGCGACATAACACCAAGTCAGAAAAGATATATGAGATGGAGACGGGGGGGAAATCCTCCAGAACCATGCAGAGGGGAGCAGCTGCAGTTCATAGGCATACAGCCTACTTCAGCCTGCATTTTCGCACCAGGGATACTCATACCAGAACATTCAAGCAAAGAAAAATGGTCTCAACTACAGCTAACCAAACGTGAATTGTGTCTTGCAATTATTGACGGTTTCTCACTAGCGTAGGTGGTTGGAACATGATGGTCCCACTAACGCACTGTTTAGTCTCAGAAAGGATGGGGACAGGAAAAATGGTTAGGAATCTTCCCTCCCATGCCAACACCACGTGAGAGTGCAGTTTGTGTTATTACTGAGCAGGGCTTTAGTTGTGGCTGGAGGTTGGGTAGCAGGTGATATTACAGACAATGTGGAAGCATTTGGAACAGGCACTAATTGTGGGATCACAGTCTGTCCTCTTCCACATAAATTTTCATCGTTATCAGCAACTATCTGTGGCAACATGCTCTATGTGGCAGGTGGCTTTACTGAATCTGACTCCATCAAAGTCAGTCTTCACTTGTTCACTTTCGACCTCTTACGTTCACTCCTCAAGTCACAATGTATGGAAAGAGATCAAAGTTACCGGTGACAAGATCCACTGTTGTGTCATTGGTGGGGACTACTGGCTATTGGTGGGAGAATGACTTAGATAAACCCACCCCTATGTCTATAGATATGACTCCCACACCGACTTTGGAATGTGGCTAGTGAGATGAAGAAAGAGTCAAACCTCCTGCCTTGTAGTAACTCTTCCAGACGGCCACATTACTGTAATGGGAGAATTTGCTGTCAACACAACTGCGTATGTGACTCTAAGCTATGCCGTACAACATCCCTCTCAGGCAAGAAAAGATTGAAAGAAGTCCCATGCCTCTCAGTACTGAATTAGCAATTCAACCATTGTCGCATCATCGTCTGACAGCAGTCAGAAGAGAGGAGAGAATGCTGTGAGAGAAGAGAAGAATGCACCAGAAGCAATGTGGAGGGGAGCAGATGTAGTACATGGAGACACAGCTTATTAAGCCCAGGTATTCGTGTAAGGTTTACTCTACCAAGAAAATCATTGGAAAGAACAGTGGTCTCGATACCAGATAATCCTAACATAAATGTGGTCTGGCAATTATTGATGGTCTTCTTACTAGTGTTGGTGGTTGGAAAAGTGGCCGACCACTAACTCTCTCGCCGTCTACAGGAGAAGGTAAAAGAAAAGAGTGGTCTGAAGTCTATCCCCCATGCCAACAGGACGCACCCATGTTACTGTTTCACTATCGACAATTTTTGATTGTTGCAGGCGGTCTTGGAGTCTATTATGTATAGTATATAGTCATGAATGTAAAAAATATGCAATGGGCCACTGTCTCTATCTTCACAAAAAACTTTGCTGCTTACTGACACTGCGTATGTTGGGGGAGGAAGCTATACCGGCAGGGGGAAGCTTAGTTATTCAAGGTCTGTCTTCACTGTCCGTCGACCTCGTGAGGTCATTCATTACCAGATCAGGAATCGCTTTCAGAGCAACATACCAAGTCACAATATTTGAAGGAGATCAGCAGTTTACCAGTCGTAGGATCGACACTGTTTCATGTGGTAATGAAGTGTAGCTATTGGTGGGAGGGATGGATCAGGCTACAATACTCTAACGTGTATAAGTATGACTTCCTTATCTGACACTTGGACCATCACTAGTCGATGAACAACCAACGATCTGAGTGTCTGGCAGTCACTCTTCCTCACCACCGCCTCGTTGTAGTGGGGGGATACACCAAGAGGAATAGGTTGACTACTGATAGTGTTGAGATTTCTGGGACCCGTACAACTTGCAAAAACGTTTGCATTCATGCCCTAGGCTCAGAGATGCACATTCAAAGAAAACATAAGGGGTTAAAAAAACTTCGCCGTTCCAAATCACTTGATCTTACTTCAACCACATTAGTCAAACAATTATTTACTGCTTCAAGAGCTCTTTCTACCACATCCTTGTCCTCTGCAGAGGTGACAGTACAAAATCTCAGCAGCCTTACTCCAACCAGTCAGCTTAATAACCCCCCGTTTTCTAAATGTTTCTCTTCTACTTCCAAGAACAAAGATGGCAATGAAGGGGAGGTGAGGAAATTACGGTGGTGGGAGGGAGAAAATGTGCAAAAGGAAATACGGAGAGGAGCAGCAGTAGTGCATGAAAACAGAGCCTACTTCAGACCAGCTTATTCACACAAGGTCTACTCATACCAGTGTATTGATGGAAATGAAAAATGGTCTCGGTTACCAGATAATTGTAACCAGAACTGTGGTCTGGCAGTTATTAATGGCCTTCTTACTAGTGTTGGTGGTTGGAACAATGGTCTTACAAACACTCTCCTGAGTCTCAGAGGAGTAGGTGAGAGCCAAGAGTGGTTTAAAACCTTCCCATCCATGCCTACACCACGTAGCCATGTTGCTTGTATCACAATTGAAGAGGCGTTAGTTGTAGCTGGTGGTCTTGGAACAAATTATGAATTCCTTGACACTGTTATAATCATGAACACCAACCCTATTAATAATATGCAGTGGACCACTGCAACTTCTCTTCCACGAAGAGGGATATTTAATGCCACTGAATGTATGGGTACGCTGTACCTTATAGGAGGCTGTCTCACTGATTCAAAGTCTGTCTTCACCTGCTTTGCTTTGGACCTCTTCATGTTATCACATACTAGATCAGAATCTGCTTTCGGAGCACCATTACCAAGTTGCAATATTTGGAAGGAGATCAGCAGTTTACCAGTCGTAGGGATCGACACTTGTTTCATGTGGTAATGATGTGTTAGCCATTGGTGGGAGGGATGAATCAGGCTTCAATACCTCTAACGTGTATATGTATGACTACTTATCTGACACTTGGACCATCACTAGTCAGATGAAGAACCAACGATCTGAGTGTCTTGCAGTCACTCTTCCTCACCACCGCCTCGTTGTATTGGGGGGATACACCAAGAGGGATGTTGATCCTGTAGAAATTATGTCTCTTGGCCATCATAGACCTTTCAAAATAGTACCTAGTGAGGCTGACGTCTTCTATAACCAGAGAGAACAAACAGCTGTTGCCTCTGAATTCTGTACTCTTCCACAACATTTTACCCTAATCTCCACCTTATCCCACTGCACAAGTGAGGGTAGAATGTTCACAGACGAGGCCAATGACTTCAGTCTGGAGATCCCAGAGGGAGCCATTCCTGAGGGAGAGAGACTCACTGTTGATGTGGCAGTTTCTCTTTTCAGCCCGTTCCAATTCCCAGAAGGTCTGAGACCCGTGTCTCCCGTGTTCTGGGTGTGTGTCCGTGAGCAAAGAAACTTCCAGTTCTCCAAACCTGTCTTAGTCACCATCCCTCACTTCCTAAATATTGAAGATGACGACGACATCACATCTCTGGGTCTCACTTTCCTCAAAGCAGACCACAACAAGAACTCTGAGGGTCTGTATGAATTTAAGCAAACACCAGGAGAGATGGACTTGAAAACTACAAAAAGACTTGGTGTTATTAAAATGTCACACTTTTGCTCTCTCTGTCTTGCCTCAAAAGACATACCGAAATGTTTAGAAAAAGCATCGTTTTGCATTACAGCAGTATTACCAATATTCTCAGTACCAGTAGGCAAGAGAGCTCAAGCTCACTTTTTCATCACATTCTTGAATCTAAAAACGTGCCTTAACAAAGTCAAGGATATCATTAGAAATATGAACTTAGAGGGATATTGCACAAAACGGAGGAAATTCCAGTTCAAACCGAGTACTACAGCTGCAATAGAGATTGTCATAAGTAATCCGTGCTGTGGAATGATTGGGCTGGATGGAAGCAAAAAGGTATGGTTTTTGATACTTAAAAGACAAATTTTTACAATTGGCATTTATTTCACAGATATTTAGAAGTGAAGTGGACTTCTTTGTTAAAAGAAGACTATCACAGGGAGAACTAGAGTGTCTAAAGAGTGATGATTTCTATCCTCCACGATTTGACGTGTTCTTTGCCTCCTTCCAGGAGAATGCAACACTCAGTGATGGCAAGATTGCCTTCAGAGGGGCCACTAGTGACATTGAATTTAATATCCATCTCGATCTTCCTCACCCTAGGACCCGTCCCGTGGCTAGTCATGCTCCAAGTAAATTGGAACTCATAAAAGTAAACGAAATTATTTACCTACATTTTTATATTATAGCTACAGAAACGAGAGATATAGGTTCACAGACGGAGGAGCTTCCAGTAGGTATGTATGTACAGCTATGTACTTGTATGAAATTTTATGAAGATCCGAGGAACTCAGAATTTGAAATGAACACCCATCAATCCATTTGAAACACATTAATTCATGACACCAGATAGTTCATGATTGTATCACTTCCCTGTCTATATAAAATCACACAAAACACTGAAGTGAAAACCCTAAGCACCAGGGCACTCAACGCACGTAGTGTTATTTGCACATTACGCATGCACGTAAAGCACAGTCTTACACCCCCCATCAATGGACAGGCAATTTTCCTGAAGTGAATGTGTTCAAGACAAAACAAGCGAAATAGCACACACGCATCTACACCGACTTACCTTACCTTGACCAAGTGTATCCATCCAGCACACTTTTAAGGGATTAAACTGCTCTAGGGATGTGTATCTAGTCCAGTGTTGCTCTACTGATGCAGTTGGCCTATGTTGATAGTGAGAAAATCGCCTCGTATTTTTCAGCTACTGGCAGCTTGAACCTCTCTTTATTGCTTAATGGGCTGCTTAGTAGCCTTTAGTGCCAGAATAGCTGCAAACAAACAGACTCTGTATAATGCAACCCTTGCTGTGAGGTTTCGTTTCCTGTATTGCCATTAGCAATCTAGTTCTAGTAACAACTGATATAAGGAGACCATGGTCTTAAGGTTCTGTTGTTAAAGTTATTTGCTCAAACAAACTTCTTTTGTGATATACATAGCAATTAGCCTCTATCTACGAGCAAAGAACACTCAATGAGTTCCTGCATGTGCATGTGATTTTAAAAATCAGTCATCAGGATTTTGCACTGTAAAACCTTTGCGTAGGGGGTACATGAAGGTTTTACAGTAATCTTGATGATGCTTGAATTGGTGGTATCAATTTCAATTCTCTACAGGTAATTCTGTGGCTTCACAACTGGCTAGTGGTTCAAATGTGCACGAGTGTAGCGATGCTCCACCTAATCTGTTCCCTGCATCCATTAGCCACAAGACTGGACGACTAGGTAATCTTTGAGCACAGTCGAGGACATAAGGCTCTACAAGCAAATACTTTTATTGATGTTGTACACATGTGCTGATCAATCTGTTTTGCACACTACTACTACACATACTTAATTATTAAGTTCACACCTATTAACCAAAACTGTAGCATTTGTTACTGCAGTTTGTGTTGTGTCGCTTACCTAACAAAAAAATGATAGAAACCCACCCAAAGCAGCTCTTTTTAGAAAGAGTTGTCCAAGGTATTACATTTGCCTCGGTGCCTCCATGCACAACTACATTTGCTCTGCATAGACTATATAATATCAGCGTTGCAAACACATTCTTTATGTGGCACATGCTCTTCTGTTTACAGACATAAATAAAGATATCCCCATTACCAAGAGATGCCTACAGCATCTGAACAAAGAAGAGTTGAAGCAGCTTTTTCAAGAACTTGGCCTTTATCACGCAACAGTTATGGACAATTTCTCAGACAGCAGTCAGGGTGGTTACGCAGAGGGTCTGATTCGGTCATGGATACTGGGAAGGGATGGAGTCCTGACGTCAGAGGTGTACAGAGGAGGAGCAACTCGGGAAAACCTCACGAAAGCTCTCAGAACTCACAACCATCATGGAATAGCTGATAGCATCATACCATTATAGAAATGCTACATTCTCTATCAGGAATATTAAACATTGTGTATATTATACATTGTTTTGTCACTTTTAGTCGTAGTTGTTTAATTTATTGCTTGGATATTACAAGTTTTATACTTAGCTACATTTGTATTTCTCCCTCATTATTTACATATTGCGTTGTATATAGGGAAAAATAAAAAAATATATAGGGGTGTTGTTAGAGCATCGGTAGACCACCCTATCATTATTGAGAAAGATCAAATCTCACATGACTTGCGTAAAAAAGCTCCAAAAGTTGGTTAGAAAAATGCCATGTGAGGCTCATCCTTGGTTTCGCTATAATAGCTAAGCACATGATACAAATGGAGCAGTTTATGTTTTGCCCTAGCTGGCCCTCATTAGACTGTCTGTGGAAAGAAAAATCTTCTGTGGCAACCAAGAGGACATTCAGTGACATCACTCTCAAGCAAAAAGCCAATCACGTACAATAGCTATATAATTATATAGCTGATTGTGGTGTTTTGTGTGGTACAATGTACCCATGCATGACAGTGCTTGTATGGTATCAATGTAGGGATATGAGGGTCATATTCCAAGTATGGCTGTTTGTTCAACTCTATCATTCACACTCAAACTCACAAACACAAACTATATACAGAGCTTTCAGCACCAGACCTCGTGTAGCTACCCAATATTGTAAAGCTGGCTAAGCAGCCTTCAACACCAAAGCTGTTAGCTAATCAATATCAGACTGTGGAGAGTTGTAACACATTATTGTTGTAGCCTAAGAAGTATATATAGGTGGACATATTATGATAGGCTATGTCAACAATACTGCCTTATAAAGTTGCAGTTGCATCCATAATGCAGAACAATGGGAAGAGCTCAGGCACAAAATATAATTAGCTATATTATTATTATAATAGTCAGTTGCAAGAGTTTTGTTTTGCAGCGAGTTTTTCTTGTCTCTTCAGCAGAGTCTTGTTCACGGCCATCCCCACCAGTGGCCCAACCACAGCCCCCACAGCAGCTCCCGCAGCCAGCCCTGCCGCTGCTCCTATCCCTGCAGTGGGGAGTCCAACCAATATCCCCCCTGCCAAACCCCCCAAACAGGCCCCCGTCACAGCTGAGGCCACCCCCATACCCACCCCCGTCCCAATTTTCAAAGCTTTGCTGACCTGCTTTCGATCGACAACGATTGGGATGCTCTGAGCACTACTGCTCTGTTGTAGCTGACACTCGAGGAGATCCTCTGGAGTGAGATGCTCGGCATCTCTAATACGGTGCTGGTTATTAACGAGGATGGCTAGTTTTGCTTCGTCCCTGGAGTGCATAAGAAATTTTAGCCACAAGTAGCCCAGCCAGTGGGGTCGGTCTGGTAGACTGGGCTCAAGGTAATGACCGGCTGGTTCCACAGGCACTTCACTGGCAATCTCTTCCGCTACACCCGCCTGTTTGAGAGCAAGACAAACGCCATCCTGCCACTGACCTAAACGTGAGGCAAAGATGTGATTTGTGTCTTCGCCAGCGCTTTCATCAAATGAAGCCTCCAGTATATTCTCCTGAAGGATGTTTGCAAAAGTGAGAACTACCATTGCATGACGCCAGATATCAGGGCCCATGGTTTCTGTAACCACTTTCATTCCTGGGACCATGTCCTCCACTACACACCGTTGGGAGATCTTGACGCAGTATAGCAGCATATCGATATGGCCACCACACTCCCCGTGAAGTTGCTGAATGTATGCAAGACCTCTCCCCGTCCCGTCTTCCAATCCTGCACTATCCCATACCGTGACGGTGTAGTGTCTTCCGGACAGAGACGCCTTTTGCGCTTCATAACTCGCTACTCCCTGCGTCTCGTGTGAAAGCGTCTCCCCTTCCTTTGCGGGAAGCTCGACCTCCACTACTTTCCCATCCTTGTCATACACCTCGTCTTTCGGCACTGCGCCGCAGAGGGCGTTGATCAACGCAGATTTGCCAGACCCTGTTACGCCCGCCACTGCAACATTTACCTCGGATCTGGCTAGCGGTAGAGCAGCCTCGAAGTCTGCTCGCTGTTGCTCCGTCCAGTCAGGATCAACCAGGTCTTCAACAATACATGGATTCACGGTTGCAGCTTCTTTGTGGCGGCGGCTGATCATGACTAACTGCAGAACATTCACTTCCCCTTCGCTCCGCCCGCCCTGACTGTCGCGGCGCGCGCTGAGTCGTTAATTTTGGCGAAGAGCGATGGACACCATTCAGCGATTTCTCACCTCCGCTACCGTTCAACTCCTCTCTGTAAGCATCAGAGAACAACTGGAGCAGTGGTTCTGCTCCAGTAAAGAGCTCTCCATCTTCGTCAGTGGCAGAACGGGGGGTGGGAAATCCACACTCGTGAACTCACTTCTAGGGGCGAAGTTGGCGGAGGAAGGTGCCGAACCGAAGCCGGCAACTGCGGAGATCGATTGTTACGAGCGTCGTGTGGGGGAGATACTTGTAAAGGTATGGGACTCGCCTGGGCTGCAGGACGGTACCAAGCACGAGGAACGTTACCTGAACCACATTGCTGGCAGGTGTAATACTGGCGTAGATCTCTTTCTCTTCTGTATAAACGTCGGAGACGCTACTCGTTTCAACCTGGATTCGCCCGAGGTCAAAGCTCTGGCTAAATTGACGGCGAAGTTGAGTCCCGTGATTTGGAATCACGCCATCATTGCCCTGACATTTGCCAACAGGCTAGGGCAGACCAGTATGGAAATGAGGTTAGCCAAGCGAAGAAAGGACAAGGACAAGGTCAGGGACCTCTTCTGCAAGAAAGTCGATGAATGGGAACAACGTCTCCGAAGATTTCTGCCCGAAATTGGACTCTCTTCTAATCAGATCCAGAAACTGAAGATAGTTCCAACAGGCCACCGTCGAGACCCAAGTCTCCCAGATCGGCCTCACTGGCTCAGCACCTTCTGGTTCGAGGCTCTCCGCTCAACCCACCCCAGAGCCCAGCCTGCACTGCTCCGTATGAACGAGACACGCATTGTCGAGAACCCCGATACAGTGGACGAAAAAACTCACAGGCAACACTCGGAAGACCAGGCGTTCATCTTCAGCCAATTTGGTAGCAATGTCGGGAGACTCATGTGTGGCTCTGAAGACCTGGGCTCTATAGCAGGCCTAGCAATGGCAGATTTCAAGGATATAGAGCTCAAAGAACGCATAGTACTAGAACAGTTCTTCATCATGAATACCATTCCCCAGACATCAGCGGAAGACTATCCCCGTTCTCCTCCGCCACTTAGCATTGGTGATGGAGTTGAACAGGACATGTTGGTGTCGCCTCTGGATGTCTCTTTCTCTCAACTAGGACTAGGACAGACTCCCACTACCAGTCCTGCTGTGTCAGTCCCAACCGCAACCTCAGACGGCAGTGGGGTTGAGGCTACACCTGGGGACGGCCTTCAGGGAGAGGAGGAGGAGAGTCTTAGTTCACTAGCGTCACCCAAATCTGTGTGTGGTGGTCATCCTTACCATGAGTGAACTGGTTGTCTCTTGTTAAGACAACTATGGTCTTATCATAAGACCATAGTTGTCTTAACAAGATACAATACTCACATACCATCAGTTGTATATAGGACATAGAGATCTAGATATAATACAGTTGACATTAGCCCTCAGAAACTGAAACTAATGGCAATTGAGGGATTTGATGCACACAGCCTAAAATATTCCAGCAAGTGTATGTAGCATGGTAACTTTTCCGGAGGTTCATTTGCAGTGGATATATATGACTGCAGTCTTAGTACGAGCATCTCCTAAATCAGTGAAAGACATATCCTTTCGGGGATCAGGTTGTAGGATGTCACGCCATGAGGTAATCTCAACGCATGCGCAGTTAGAATCCGAGGCCGCGAGGGCCCATGGCCAATGCGATATCGCAGCGTCGTCGCAGCGCCACGAATAGTCTTGCGCCTATGTGACTTTCTTCGTATCGTCGCTGAGGGCGATTGCATCCATGTATATACTCGTATGGTGATCTTGGTTGTTGACGGGATTGAGGGACAGAGGTAACAAGCAAAGCTTTAGCAACAACTATAGTTACTGTTAATAGGTTTCAACTCTGCTGTTTTCGCCGGCAGTGATGAGAGGTATGATGGTGGTGGGTCATCTGGCACTAGTGGCAGTGGTAGTGCTTACATGGAGGAGGAGGGATATTATGTGGGAGGTGGAGAGAGTGAAATGGCAGAGCGTGCAGAGCGTGTGGATGTCCTTCACAAGATAGGAGACGTGCACATTACATTTCTGTACGTTATGACTTTCGTACCTATTTATACGCGCCGAATCGCGGAAGGTGCTTCCGTCGTGAGCATGCGTAGGTAGATAAACGTGCACCCTATAGCGCTACTTTTTGCAGTCGTTTCGGCACCGGTGCTATGGTTGAGCACCGCCATGGCTCCACTCGGTTCATCTCTTTTTGTGCTCACATGCTGCATATTTCTCTACGCCGGCAGAACGCAGGGGCAGAGGTAGCTAACTACGATATGTGTAATGGCAAAACAGCTACGTGGATCTTGTATCAATAGCGGTTATAAGGATGACGGTGAGGGACTTTACAGTGGAGGTGAAGAGAGTGGATCTGGGGCTAGTGGCAGTGGTGACGACATGAAAGAGGGAGATGAGGGAGACATGGGAACTGAGAGTGAACTGGCAGAGTGTGTGGATGTTCTTCACAGAGAAGATGACGAGGGAGATGAGTTGACCTCTTCCACAGCCTACACTGCTACCATGTGTAGTGTCCTCTGCATGGATAGCATCACTAACAGCCAACATTACCAGGTGACATGCATGACTGTGGGATTTGTATAGTCCCAGTTCTAAATATAAGTATAATAGCTAGAGTACTCAACTTCCCTATACCAGTTTATCCAACTATAACAGATGGGGTTACACTGCCCTCAGGATTCAATAGTGTTCTGTTCCTACTAGGATATCGAGTCTGAGAGCATTACTGTTGGTGATGTTTGGATGTTCAAGTCGTTCCCACAGTTCAGTTCAGAGAATGAAAGGACTAACTGCAGAGCTTATCAAAAGGTTAGTGAGAGGTTCCCCCCATAATAAACATCTCAGTACTCGTTATCATGAGCTTTATATTAACAACAGTATTCCACTAAAGAGATTGTAGATAGCAATGTTGTCTTAGATTGTGAGAGAGAAGACCAGTGCCAAAACTTTGCATTAGTGTTTGTTCTGTGCAAATTATGGGTGTAGCTATGCACGTAATAATTGCTCTTTGGCAACATGCCATCACCAAAATAGTTAGATACAACAGGATTGTGTGTACAGTGGAACATCAGAACAATGCGGCCAAAAATTATGTCCCTGGTAGAGAGGTCATCCCTATCCCAGAGGTCAAATGATATGCCAAAAGTATTAGCATGGGGTTAAAACGAGTGTCCTTTGTAGAGAGATCATCCCTATCTCGGAGGGTTCCTTATCAGAGGTTCCACTGTGTTATCCAGTTTGCTGAGTGTGTCAGAGGTTGTCTGGTGAGAGTGGAACCAACATCAGCTCAACTCAACCATCAGGGGCTGCAGGGATGAATGTGTAAGAGTTTCTTGTTATTCTCGATGAACACTACATCTATTGTAACTGTATTTGACAGAAAGGGCAGTGTAGGGAAGAGAGAAATATTGATGACCACTACTTCAACCCGTACTGCAGAATTGACTGTGTAAGTTTCCAAATGAAATTCGTAACAAATTGTTCTATTGTGATGTGCTGCAGAATGGAACTGTCTGCAGACAAGGTTGTGACAACTACGAGAGGATTGTGCGCTCCTTCAATGCAGCAGGTAGCTAGCTAGCGTAACTGCAACTGCACTATAGTTGAACTTCCAAACAAGGGACACTATAGGACCAATGATTTTGGGAGGTTGTCCCTATCTCGGAGGTAAAAATACACTAAAATTAGCATGGGGTTGAAACAAGTGTCTTTGTAGAGAGATCATCCCTATCTCATTGGTCCACTGTATTAACCACAGTGTGTTGCATACAGAAGGTGTTGTAAGAGTATCACTGGCACAGAATATCATCTGCAGTGTGTGTGCTGTAGTAACTACAGTGTGTTGCATACAGAAGGTGTTTGTAAGAGTATCACTGGCACAGAATATCATCTGCAGTGTGTGTGTTGTAGTAACTACAGTGTGTTGCATATAGGTGTTGTAGAGTATCACTGGCACAGATATCATCTGCAGGTGTGTGTGTAGTAATCGTGTGGTGCACAGAGGTGTAAGGTCACTGGCACGAATATCATCTGCAGGTGGTGTGTTGTAGTAAACTACAGTGGTTGCATACAGAAGGTGTTGTAAGAGTATCACTGGACAGAATATCATCTGCAGTGTGTGTGTGTGTAGAACTACAGTGTGTTGCATATAGAAGGTGTTGTAAGAGTATCACTGGCACAGAATATCATCTGCAGTGTGTGTGTTGTAGTAACTACAGTGTGTTGCATACAGAAGGTGTTGTAAGAGTATCACTGGCACAGAATATCATCTGCAGTGTGTGTGCTGTAGAACTACAGTGTGTTGCATACAGAAGGTGTTGTAAGAGTATCACTGGCACAGATTATCATCTGCAGTGTGTGTGCTGTAGTAACTACAGTGTGTTGCATACAGAAGGTGTTGTAAGAGTATCACTGGCACAGAATATCATCTGCAGTGTGTGTGTTGTAGTAACTACAGTGTGTTGCATATAGGTGTTGTAAGAGTATCACTGGCACAGATTATCATCTGCAGTGTGTGTGTTGTAGTAACTACAGTGTGTTGCATATAGAAGGTGTTGTAAGAGTATCACTGGCACAGATTATCATCTGCAGTGTGTGTGCTGTAGTAACTACAGTGTGTTGCATACAGAAGGTGTTGTAAGAGTATCACTGGCACAGAATATCATCTGCAGTGTGTGTGTTGTAGTAACTACAGTGTGTTGCATATAGAAGGTGTTGTAAGAGTATCACTGGCACAGATTATCATCTGCAGTGTGTGTGTTGTAGTAACTACAGTGTGTTGCATATAGAAGGTGTTGTAAGAGTATCACTGGCACAGATGATCCTCTGCAGTGTGTGTGTTGTAGTAAGGATAGAGCATTGTTTTCTGTTCAGGGTCTCCACCAAGTCCTGTCCAGAGACCGCAGTTAGTGTCCTCTACCTTATTGGGAGATGTTATATGAGCATCTCGGAATCTGCCCCGCTAACAAACGACCAGGAACATACCCCTGCACCAGTGGGAATTGTCTACCGTGTTGTGGACCAGACCACAAGTTATACCAGATACTTTCAAACGGTAACAGAAGAGAATAACAATAGTTATGGTACATGAAGTGTTTGACCATGTGATGCCAAGAGAAAAAAGATGTGGTGCTCTGGACAGCTGTTTCGGGCTTTTTGGTCCTCATCAGCAGAGCATACCGTAACTTCTCTCTCTGGCATCACGAGTTTATAAAGGCTACCAGGAGCACAGCACTTGTGGTTCTGAACTAATGAGATTCATCTCCACAAGGCTTTGCCACTGGTATGTGCTGCCCATCCCAGACATTCATGGTTTGGAGCCTAGGCCCCTCCCCACTCCTGCTGGCCAAGGTCAGTACCGAGCCAAAACTCTTAACTCGCAATCCTGGCATGTACGTGTCATGTCTTGGTTAACGTAGTGTGGGTAGAAGCCTGTGGTTTCAGGTAAGTAACAAATTGCATTGCCCTATGCCCACTAAACATGCCCATATAGAAAACAATGACAAACATGATATTTTTACTGAGCTGAGCTTCCCATCTTTGTTCATGGCCACACACGAACTCCCAGGTTTCTCCGGACGAGCCTCTCTATCTGGAAGAGTTTGCCTGTCGCACTGTCTCCGTATCTTTCGTGGTGGTTAACAGGTTCGGAGTGTCTCAGGAGTCACCACCTCTCACTTTGAACGTCCCCGGAGGTATATATATACAGTAAAGCCTCTGGTCTTGGGGGACATCGAAAGTGTCCTTTACTCAGAGTTTTGAGGTGATATAGCTAATATTATACTGCAGCCTTTGTAGAGAGATGTCCTTTATTATCCTTTTTCGGATGTTTCACTGTATATTATTATTCCATCTTTCTGATTGTCAGGGGAGATTGTGCTAAGAGCACCAACAGACATAGACGTGGAAGAGAGCGTGGACAAAAGACCTGACTTCTTTGGACATGCAGTACTCACCATCTCCTGGACTCACCCACAAGGTTGACTCAGCTATCACTCTCTTTCATAACCTTTCCACGACTCGTCTATAATTTTCAGACTATGTGGAGGGGTTGCACTACTACATAGTGAAACTTGCACGTATAGGTGGTGTCGCCGGTGGAGGCATGCGATTCACTTCTTCTCCAATTGTTAGCAATTACCTATGCTGACTCTGTTATATTTGACCAACAGATATTTCCTCTGCAGACCTCTAATTCACTGACAGTATCAGATAGTGAGACAGGACTAGGTGTCTTCCTCCTGCAGTACAATCTAATTATAGAAGTTTGTACGCGGATGTGGGGTGAAGATTCTTCTGAAGAATGCAAACAAGAACGAAAATATCTATCAACTGGTGTGTTAATGTGTCGGTGTAGGACATTGTGAACGTACACCTATCAACACGGCCAAAGAAACAACTATAGAAAACAGTTAAAAGAGCTGCTCCGGATGTTGGAGCACTTTGTGTATTAGCTCTGCCACTTTATGTATCCTTGCTCATTCCATGCAGAATTATTCCTATGGAAATTTGTGTTCTTTAACGATCTCTCTTATCTATTCAGTGGCACGTTTGGAGAAACCTATGGTTGTCACACACTGTGTACCCCACCGGAATGGATTGGACTTCGACTTTACTATCCACTGGACTGTGCAAGAGTTTGTGGCCTATGGAAACGAAATTTTCAGCGGTTTTCTGGTGGTCATTGAAGACAGAATCGCCGAACAATTCATACGTAATGACGATGTGAACAAGATAGCTAATCAGACAGAGTACTCCTACAAGTGGTTTGATTTACCACCACTGGAGCAAGACACAACATATACATTTATAGTAAAATCTTATTCTGTTCAAGACAGTTTTCTGTGCCATAGCAGAGAGTTTGGGTTTGCCTTTGCCTTGGAATGCATACTCTTACCCCAGTCTGCTGAGCTGCCCCGATAGCTCGGTGGGTAGAACACTTGTCTAGAGAACAAAGTATGTTTAATGTATCGGTGATTGTGTCATCTTTGGCAGCTGAATTATCTTCATCCTCTGTTCCTTTACTCAATGTATGTAGGTATCAATTCAATGGCTGTCATCTGATAGTTACAAGCAACCTTCAGTTTTCGATGCCAATTGCACTATGCCAGCAGTTCCACCTTCCTCGAGTCCAGTGCTGGATGTGAGACTGTCAGAGCTAGAGTTTTCCGAGGAGACAATGGAGGTCCAGTTCCGGGTTCAGTGGAATCCCCCCACAACTCCGAATGGGCAAATCACACACTACCTTGCCTGTCTAGGGGGCCGCAAAATCCCCAATTTTGAACAGGGACCGGGTGACGTGAAGGACGGAAATGATACAACTTGCCAGAATATAGACAAAGTGAGATACCCCTTGGCAAATGAGTGCTTGTTTAGATGCTTGCTTGGTTTTGTGCACAGGAGAAGAGATCCTTTGCCTGGACGACTAGGCTTCCTCGTCCAGACTACATCTATTTTCAGGTAAACTAGAGCTGCACTGACACATGAGCTTAACACTTAACCAGCCACAGACACCATAAGAATTTATATGGGGGTTATAATACTAGGTGCTAATGCTTATTTAAGCAGATGCCATGGCGTCCAAAGGGTTTTAAGATAGTCACACCTGTCAACCGCACATTGGCAAGGATGATTATTTCTTGCCTGTCTCAGTAGTGAACTAGATTAGCTTGTGCCAAGAAGCTGTTTTACCGTCTCATTGTTGCTGAAGTGTAGCATGTCATGCAGATAGGAAATACTTCATTGCAAAAGCATCACATCACGTTTGCTCCTGCGGTGTATTTGAGCCAATAATACTTGATCTATTCCAGATGAGAGCCCACACCAAGCTGGGAGGAGCTGGAAGCTGGAGCGAGGCCGTTGTAATCTCCGACAAAGCCATTTCCAAGACTATCATCTGCAGCACTCCGCCACCCTTCGAGGCCCAGAGGGAGAGTCCGGAGTCTTCAGCGACGTATGTCCCAGTGTTGGGTGCACTGGGAGCAGTGATTGGTCTCACTCTGCTGGCTCTGCTCGTGGCTCTGACTGTGGTGTGTGGCAGGATCCGTAACTATACACAAAGTATATGTAATCATAACAGTATAGCTCGCTATATAGTAGCTACATAGCTACATGGACATGATTAATTAACTCTTGCTGCACATGCGCAGCGAAGGTTACTGTATAGCTAATTGGCGAGCGGGAGCGAGCCAACCTAGTCGTTCGTTCGAGCGGATTTATTATTATTCAACACACAAGGATAGATGCAAAGCAGAGATAAGGCAAATAAAAAAAAAATAGAAAGAGAATAACAGAAGCTCAGCACCAAAGCAGACCAGTGGGCGACTGGACTATTTCCCTTCGCCAGCCGAGGGCTTATGGGCTCCTGGACCGATCACTGGTCTGCTCATAGGAGAGGATAAGCGATAAGCATGACTAAACAAAAAATACAAATAACAGATCAACTTAGGAACATGATAGAAAAGTAACAATATCCTCACAAGGTGAGACGTAATCCATAGAATGACCTCAATTGTCTAATGATGTGAGCAGCAAAAAGGTCTGAATCCACGAAATGTCTATAATGGTCATATCCATGAACAAAAGTGTAACCGCAAAAGTGTAAACATAATTGATGAAGAATCAGAAAAAAAACAGATCTCACAAGGATGGAGCTCGAGAAAGAGATAGCACGAGAAAAGAAAGAACAAACGATCATTGGCGAGCGGAACGAGCCAACCTAGTCGCCGCAACGGGCCGATTTTTTTTAACCCTCGGCGCGCATGCGCAGCGAGGGTTACAGTACTTGGTCCGTCCGTCTGTCAGTCTGTCCGTCTGTCCGTCTGTCTGTCCGTCTGTTACCACGTTTTCTGCCACCACGCGCTACAAGCAGGTAAAATAGTGACACCAACGGGTTCAGCGCTACACTGGCTTCATTTTTTAAAATGGCGATTTTTGTAAAGTGCCGCGTTCAGAAGTTATGGCATGAAAACCAAGTGAACAAGCCAATATGAAAATTAACACAGGCTTACCTCGACCGGGTCCGCTTGCTCTGTGTACCTTGGAGGCACAAGAAGTCACAACGAAGGGCCTCCCGCATGCTATCTACTACTGTAGCTAGCCCGTGTCAGACTCTCCGCGAGCTACTCTAGCGTTAGACCACGATATATACTACAAATAGCCCAGCCCATCAATTAGGGGTGCATGCGCAGTTTGCCGAGGGTTTGCACTTTAGTGCTCGTTCGTACGTCAAGTCAAAAGTTCATGAGATAGCCCTTCGGGGAGCACAAGTACACACAGCGAAATAATTATACAAATAAAAAATAGGGTTGATATAATTATCTATTTGTGAGCATGCTGATGACAGACTCTGTGGAAAATCCCGAAAGGTTCGTGACTCCTTCGTGTTTCTATAGTACATGGTCAATCAAGGTGGTAGCGCCATCGGATACATCGGTGTCACATTGAGGGCAGGGTGTGGAACCTCTGCCATGATGGGCAAGCAATCGAGTAAGATACTGGAGTCCCATGCCGTGCTGTGTCCCACAGAGCTGGCCATGCGTCGCCACGCTTGCAGACATCCGCAATCAAGGGGGCTTTGGAGTCACAGGTGGCTAGCATCAACTTTTTATCGAGCTCTAGTATAATTATGCTTCTTGATGTCTGTTGCACTCACGCTATCAGCATCACTCAAGACTTTATCAGTAAACTTGGTCCCGAAGGAGGCTTCGAGATCACGACACTCTCTGACGATACATAGAGAATCTGGGTCGTCTAGCAGCGAGTATATGGTAGCAGCCCCAACACCATCTGGCTCCTGGGACAGTAGATGCTTCAGGAACGCCAGCTTCCGAGTAAGGATTCTAGCCTTTGTAGACTCCATCCCTAGACATACCAGGGCTGCAGTGTTAGAGAAGTGGGCGGGCCACTTGAGAGCTCTTTTAGCAGCCCAGCCGAGGAAGCATTCCAGCTTTTGAAGCAAAGCGTCGGTAAGAACCCAGTTTTCACATCCGTATAAAAGTACGGGCATGACACAGATATCAATAACAGATTTTGTTGATAGAGGGTTGATATCTTCCTGAAAGGAGCCAAGTGAGCCATAGTGAAAAAAGCAGCCACGAACTTTCGTGATATTCTGATCCACACAACAGTTAGCTAGCAGATCTCTTTGCCACCAGTAACCCAAACACTTTTGCTTGCTTTCTAAGTGGTACAGACACACTATCTGGGAGCTCGATGCCACATCCGGATCTAGAGAGGGAGAACGCAACAATCTCACATTTCTGCGTGTTGAGTTGGAGAAAGTTCTGTTTACAACTATTGATATTTGATTTTGAAGACAGTCAGAACTGGAGGCAAGCGTTCCTATGTCATCTGCATGGATGAAGCCCCCTGGCTATTGATTGACAAACCGAGACCAGAGTTCTCTAAATGTAATAGCAGTGGATCCATGACCAGTAGGAACAGGGCTGGAGACAGAATAGAGCCTTGTTTAACTCCCCTTTCCAACACATATGACTTTGACAGCGCATCACCCGCACGGACTCTGCATTTTGCGTTCACGTAGAAACTTCGAATGAGCCTTGCAGCACTTTCCGTTCACCCCCTCGTCAAAAAGCCTTTGAAGTACAATTGGATACTCGACTGAGTCGAAAGCCTTCTGGAGGTCATATAAACACATGAAGACGTTACTCCCATCGCTGATATATCAGCGATATAGCCTCCTGTGTCGCAAAAATGGCGTCAGCGCATGAGATGTTTCTTCGGTAGGCAGACTGGTTGAGGTGAGGGATATTGGCATCGGATACACGAGTTGAAGTCGTGCCAGGAGGAGAGACTCAAGAACTTTGCAGACTACTGTTGCGATTGTAATCCCTCGGTAGTTGCTTGGGTTTAAGGGATCCTTACCGGAGCCCTTGTACACTGGGATGTCGTGTAAGTGCGCATGTGCGGCTTCGTTACGCGCTTCTTTTTATCTGCTGCATGCCTGCTGTCTGGTGGACCACGAGCCGAAAGCATAAGGTAAGTACCGTTCTATATACTCACCTGCTCACCGTTCTGCTAATAACCTGTCGCCGTTACATATGCGTATCGAGCTGAACGGCGACAGGTAGATCTGTCTTGCCTCACGAAAGGAAGGCTCTGCGCTGACGGCACATTATGCAGCCCGAACATCGCGCGCAAATCCCAAGTTGGGTCGCTCCCGCTCGCCAACAATGTTCAACATTTCCACTAGTTATAGTTGTCGTGTGCGTTTGTCTGTCTGGTCTGTCCGTTACCCAACATCTCACTTCACGAGCCACGCACAAACAATACCAGGTATTCAGCGTCGGGTAGATAGGTCGAACAATATGTAGTGAAACTGCTGCGTTCGAGATTATGGTGTGAAACACAGCGAAAAAGCCAATATACTAATTAGACAAAGGCACAAGAAGTCATAACGCGAAGGTCGTGTGTCGACTCCCGCATCTACTGCTGTAGCTGGCCGTGTCAGACTATCCGCGAGCTACCAGCGGGAGACCGCGAGTAAACGCATACTAATAACCCAGCCCATCAATTAGCGGTAAGGTAAAGGCGGTAAACTCTGGACATGTGGCGTAACACCAGCCTCGAAATTATTCGCTGCGCAAAAAACGCGAGGAAGATATGTTAGCGCTTTGGTAGAGAGCTAGTAATCAAGTGAGAATCTTTCTCTTGTTTCTGAATGTGTGTCCGTGTATTACCCAGTGCATCCCTGTTTACCATATCCGCATGCGCAGCGAGGGTTACAGTACTTGACAGTGGCAGGCAGGTTTCCCCCTCATTTTCTGCCAGTCGCGGGGTTCGTGAGGGCTCCGTCCTTTCACCCACACTCTTCCTGCTGGTTATGGACCCAATTCTCCTGGAGCTGAGTAAGAGATCCTGTGGTCCTTCTGTCTGTGGTCTCTATCTTGGGGCCTTCTCCCATGCGGACGGTATTCGAATACTCTCCACCAACATTTCTACAGATGGTGCTTGTCAGTAGCTAAGTATGCCTCCTCTCAAGGTCTGGCCTGAATTTCAATATTAATGTGAAGCTTCCATTTTCCTTCTTCTCCAGCCAACTCCACCCACATCGGCACCGGAGACCTGCTGTTTCCTCTTTCTTCTTCTGTTTAGTGTGAGGGGGCATGGGAAAAGGGACCTATATGGCTGGAATGTGAAAATTAAGTTTTTGTGGCAAAAACTTAATTTTCACATTCAAGCCATGTAGGTCCCTTTTCCAATGCCCCCTCACAAATGCTTGGGAGCATGGTGGTCTCCCAGTCTATCGTGCACTCAGTGGGTTGAAGAAAACATCAAGAAGGTGAGACGCAAGGGGCAGCGAGGTCTTCCACGGTAATCTCAACCCCCTTTTCTCCAAGAGTATCGTCGAACAAGCTGGAGTCCTTCTTGCAAAGCGCATCCTTCGGCTACCAACCTTCACCCCTAACAACATTACAATGCCCTCATGGCTCTGCAATGGCTGTCTATGAGAGCCAGGATACTCAAATCTGATCTCTCTCAGTGCTCGTGTCTTCCGCTCCCTCGCCCCCTCTGATGTTGAGCACTGGTTATCACTCGTCAATGTCGTCTCCTTGAGTCCATCTACAAGACATAGTCCAACTACACGGCTTCTGTACTTACAGTTAATGACGAAATTTCGTACCACTCCCTTAAGAAAGAATTTCTCCAACTCCACTATATACTTGCAGATGCCTCTACACATCCCTCTCAGCAGTATGTCCAAGCTGTTGCATCCAGTAATGATGGGAGCTGGCTGAAGCTATAGGATATGGCTCTTGAGAGGGGTGTGTTAGGCAACTCCTGCATTCAAGTTATACTAAGGTTTCTCTCCCTCCACGCCCACTCATGCCCTGTTCCTAACTGTTCTTTCTACATTGGTTCTGAGTCTCACTGTGGTCACTTTCTGTCGGCCCACACTATTTCATTAAATTTCTATGGAATTTCTCATTTGTCTTTCACGTTCATCTCTCTGCGCCTTCTCTCGTGAAACCAGGGTAATGCCATTTTATCTGTGTGTCTGTGTGCAAGGGCGTAGCTATGTGGTTTCTTACGTTGCCCGGAAACCCCCTTTGATCGCCGAAAAGTGGGCGTGGTCTTAATTGTTACGTTCGCATGCGCACTTGTTACTAGGGGAGAGATGAAGCGCCTGTCCTCTTTTGGCTTTTTACCTCAGACGGCCGGTGAGCAATGCCTATATAACTGAC